CCCCCCCCCCCCCCCTCCCGCGGCTAGCAGGGAACATCTTTACTACTGCAGTTAAACTTAATACATTGTTTTGTTTAACATCATATTTGTAGGAGAACATGACGAGAACAATTAATGGTGACGATGATCACGTTCAACTAACCTTTCCTAGTGTCTGCAATCCACACCCAAAGATTTGTCTCAACCAATCCAATAAAAGGAAAACATTTCGGACTGAACTGAAACGGGTTGGACGCTGAAAAATGCCTGAAAAACTCTTCAGGCGAATAAAGAAGCTGCTTACTCCACAGAGCCTGGGTTTCTTCGAAACTTGTTTTGCAGGAATATTGATGCAGCAGGGAGGAGTTGAATCTTGTTGATGTCTTTCACGTGGCAAGGTCGATGTTTCCAGAGAAATATTTTCCATCATGGAATTTATCAAATAAGCGCCCTGCTTTTCTGCTTTTACTCCACGATTAAAAATCTTTCCTCGAATTTTTCTCTTCTTTTTCTGTTTCCTTGACGTTGGAATTCCCCAATCATGCCTTGACTGTCCTCGTTTTCTTTTTCTTCCCATTCTGACGCTCAGTTTTCCAATAATTATGTAGAGTACAGCCTTGGCAGGCTCAGCCCGGTACGGGTCCTTGTTTACTACAAGAAGACAAAGGTTTGTTTCGGACCCAAAAGTTACAACAGCTCCCTTTCCTGCCCTCGTTACAGTTAAAAAAAATACAATAGTATTTCAGACTTCCACAGATTTCATGGTGGAATTATGTGAACTGAAAACAGTTGTAGGAACACAAAAGATGTGACTGCCGAATGATCTGTCGCTTTCCACCGAACTGTTCGAATTTCGTCTCTCCAAAATTTTCAGCCAATCACATTTCACGATCATTATCTCGTCTCAGGCTCTTCAGCTAAGAGGCAGTGGGGCCCTGGAACTCGATTGAGACTTTCTCTTATGCAAAAAAAGAAGAGGAAAAATAAAATTATTTTTAATAACTTTAGAGTAGTTAGAGTTTGAAACAAATTCATTGTTATATATATATATATTTTTTTTCTGGAAAAATCTGGAAAGAATAAGGGGAGGGGTGTGAAACTGCAAGTTGTCAGTGGTCTCCCCGTGGAGGTCATGCTCTTTGGAGCATTGTCTGGTGCTGTGAACAGGGTGTGATTACGGTTGTTTTGTTGGCGAAAAGACGAAGAAACAGCTAAGCGAAAATCATGTCGCAAGTCGAGAACGTGATACAGAAAATGCTTGCAGTGAAGGACAAGACAGAGGAAGCGAAAGAGAGGGAGTCAGATGCGACATTCAAGCTAAAAGAGGTGAAACTGGAGGCCTTTGCGAAGGAGAATGAAGCTGCTGGGTACAAGAGACGAATTCAGTTACTGCAATTAAAACTTAAGGAGGTGTTGTCTGAAACAGAAGGTAAAGAAAAGACCTTAAAAGAGTTGAAAGAGAAGGCTGAGGTTGAAGGTGAAAGAGGGAAAGAGCTGAGCTATGCTGAAGTAGAAACGGATGAACAGCTTAGGACCATCGAAACTAAAGTACAAGATGCCCAATCTTCCGCCGAAAACGCTCAGTTGCGTTTGAACGACGCGCAGAGAAAACTGACCGTTATGGAGAACGAGCTTTCTCGTACCGAAACTCGTAGGGATACAGCTCTGCATCGAATACCTGAGCTAGAAAAGATGATAAAGACCGCTGGAGAGAATCTTCACAAGATGCAAATGGAAGACGCCATGGCGAACGAGAGAGAACAAGACTATGAGCAGAAGTTGCAATTGTTGGAAGATGAGTTGAGCAAGAAGGTCAAAGAGTGTGAGGAGATCGACAGAAAGGCAAATGGTAGTCTTCGACGAATAAATGAGCTGACAGCTGAAATAGAAAACTGGCAAGAAAAGAAACTTAAACTTGAAAATGAGTTCGCCGCCATAGAAGAACTCGAATGAAGATTTCTGACACTTAATAATTATTATTGAGGAACGTTTTTCAAAGGTACTGAATAATACACGTCTAGTATCAGTCACCTTAAAACTTTATGGTTGTAAGCCATGATTTCAAATAGAAAGTTACTTGACATTTGTGTATCATTTTTATTTACAAAGTGCTGACGTACCACCCTGTTCCCACCCCTGAGTGGGGTGAAACCTGCGAGTCAGTGCTGTATGAATGTTCAGTCGGAATTTCCAAAAATGACCTTATCATTAACCTTCTGAAATTTTCAAGTTTTTTGTCTTCGTTTTAAGCATCCAAGGTTGCCTTATAATGTGGTGCTATTGGGCTCCTTTTTTGTTGGGGAGGAGCTTTGCTTGATGAGACAAAAACGGCTTTCAGGCTCCTTTATTAGTTGGCAAGGTTTTGTGGAAAAAACAAAGCCATCATTAATATTTTTAAGTAGGTGCTGGAGGGTAGGTGTTTAGTTTCTTGATGTTACAGATGGTACATCCACCAAAATGGCATGCACATGATGGAATGAAAAGACTATGAACAATTCCGGCATCATAACTGTCAACCAGCACTATAGTTTTAACAACACCAAGAAACACCTGGGAAAAGTAGCCAGTGATTTCACCTAAGAGGGTTTAAGATAAACTCCTCATGGATTAATTTTGTGTTTTACTAAAACATGTTGGGCTTATGTCTCTAATCACCAGGAAATCTTCAGCCATTAATGACACCCCGAAATATGAGGTTTAAGTGACCCAAGGTCAAATTTATAATGTTGCCAATCAAATTTTCATATTATTATTACAGATGCTTTGTGACTAAGTTACAGGATGAAGTTACTGTACAGCAGAGTTTCTTATAGGTTCTTAGTATTCACATTAATCTTTTAATCTTTGCTTCCCTTCCTTTCTCCCACTCATATCAAGCAGAAAAAAATGGTAACTTTGGGCATAGCCATACCCTTGCAAATGTCTCTAACAAAAGTCGACAACCACCACTCTCCTTATTTTGCTCCCTAGTAGGTGTTTAGGCTGGAACAGTCACCTACTTTAGATGGTAATACTTACTCAGGGGTCAATTTAATAAAACATTTACAAGTGTACCCATTGTTTTGGAGGCTGAAAACAATAACTACACTAGCAAACATTTTATTAAATTGACCCCAGGCTTGAAAAACCTCGAGTCCAGGCTTGTCCAAGGACAAGCAGCTCTCAAATTTCTCTCATCCAGGACAGTTGCATGTCTTATTAATTTTTACTTTTTTTCAAAAATTTAGGTAGAAGGCAAATTGCCTCAGCCCTTCACCCTTTATCATAAAATACCAAGCACTGTTTTGGCCTTCCAGAATTTATGGTCTTTGTCAGTGTGTTTTCAGATGTTACTTGAATTGCATGGAAGTGTTCAATAAACAATGTTACTGGCAGCATGTCATGGCATTTTCAATCCTTCAGTTTTATGTGTTGTTATTGATACTACCCATTAGTACACCTGTTTACATTAGGCTTAACTTTTAAAGGGAAGGATATATTTTTGGGATACTGTCTAGTTAGCAACATGCCTATGTCAGTAAAATGGAAAATACCAAACGATCACACCATCGATAAGCAACAACCAAAAATACCTTNTATCATAAAATACCAAGCACTGTTTTGGCCTTCCAGAATTTATGGTCTTTGTCAGTGTGTTTTCAGATGTTACTTGAATTGCATGGAAGTGTTCAATAAACAATGTTACTGGCAGCATGTCATGGCATTTTCAATCCTTCAGTTTTATGTGTTGTTATTGATACTACCCATTAGTACACCTGTTTACATTAGGCTTAACTTTTAAAGGGAAGGATATATTTTTGGGATACTGTCTAGTTAGCAACATGCCTATGTCAGTAAAATGGAAAATACCAAACGATCACACCATCGATAAGCAACAACCAAAAATACCTTTTGTTGGTGGTTGTTCATACTGACTACTGGTGATCTCTACTATAAACACGTCCCACATCTACTCATTTAAAGGAATACAGTAAACCTCCAAGTTAGTCCAGCCATTAGAACCTCTTGTAAACAAATTTTGTGCTGGTTTTATAATTTTCCAATATTTTTAACCTCTTGTAAGTGACCATACACATACATGGTCTGACCTTTTTGTTCAGTGTATGTACTACACTATCCACAGTATGCAAAGAACTTTCAATGACATCAAGGAACTACGCATATCGTAACTCTTCTGGAAAGTAGATAGGTCAGAACCTTTTAGAAGAGACCCTATCTATAAGGATATTCAGCGGGGAAGTATTACGGCACCCAAGTTTTTATACATTCACAGCTCAAGGCTCCACTCAGTTTTTCTATGAGCACAGCCTTGAGAAATAGAATGTTCAAGAAAATATGTGCCAGTGCTTACTAAAGTAAACATATCAATAGATTTTATCTCAAGCAATGCAGGCTAGAGGACTGTAAAATAATATTATTATTAATTTTTATCATTACTTGTTAAGGGGATACAAGTGGGTGGTAGAACAAGTTTGTTAACAGAATTTTCTGCTAGTAGACATGACTGCATTTTTCTCTGGCCTGCTAACTGAATCACATTTGTTGGATCTGCCTGGAAAGATCTCTTGCCAAGCACTTGTTCAGTGTCAAAATTGTCTACCAGTTAGGACCATTAAAATATGACATCACAACTGGTTTTATAGGTAAAGTGGTTCAACCCAAGCAGTTATGAGCGGTTGAAATGTAAATTTGTTAAATACAGCTAAGTTTTAATGCAACATGATGTGATCCCAAGAGATACATTTTGAGTGATACTCATATGGGGGAGAGGGCATATCCCTCCTCCCTGTAGAGCATCTTCTCACACCTTCTTGATCAATGCATTTCGGTGATATACCCAAGACGAATGACCAGGACAATAAAAAACTTGCTCAGTCCACATCACCTGAAAAGCATAGGCTGCGCGCAGTAATGAGCCCTAGGGGCTAGGCAAATACCCCTTTACCTTTGTACCTAAGCTATCCTGGGATGGTTTTGAGACAGTTAACCCAGGGATAGATGACAGAAATTAATAAGAAATTGATTAGTACAGATAAGTAACTGGAGTTTGTGGTAAATAATTAGTGTGGTATAGGATAGGGACTTTTAGTTTCTTAGTACTTTATAATATGGCTGTGAAATGAAGCTTTTAAGCTGTATGGCCTTGTGCACATTTAGGCTAAGGGTTCCAATTGCCCGGCAAACCTTCACCCAAATGCATATAGTGTGACAAAAAAAATACGCTTTCACTATGAAAATCATCCACACCAGAAAATACACTATTGTACAACTGAAATACAACAATGATGACAGATTGTGGCCATTTTTGCATAAGAACTAATTCTAAGTGTCAAGTACAGACAGTTTACAGTAACTAAATTATTTTGAGTGTCGAGTAAAGACAGTTTACAGTAACTGCTTATACTTGGGAGATGGAAACTAGGAAGTCATTATTTTACTTGATGAAGGGCACTTTAACTTTACAATCTGTAAAATGGGACCTGCAGTGATTCAAGCACATTCAAGGCTGGCTCTAAAAGTACTGGGTCATAAGAGTAGTTGTGGAAAGTGATATACCTGCCTACCATGAACATATCAACAACCCCTCCCATCCCCCCCCCCCCC